CTTACTTTGAGTTTTTCCATTAATGTCCTTAATCTGTTCAGGATCCAATCCAGTATACTTCATTACATTTAGACAAACTTAAAAAATGAAAATGTGTCAGCCAGAATTATAAGCTAATTGATTTTGCATGTGGTAATTTTCCCATTACCAGAAGAGTTGTTATTGAATATTGCTTTCTTTTTCCTGTTTCTGAGTTCTGTAGTTGGGATATGTAGATTCATAATGAGTAGCTACTGAAAGTCAAGAGATTCATCCTAATTTTTACAGAAAATAATGTTGAGTTTCCATGAAGAGCAGGAAGTACTGCCAGAAACTTTCCTTGCCAATTTCCCTTCTCTGATAAAGATGGATATTCACAAAAAAGTAACAGATCCAAGTGTAGCCAAAAGCATGATGGCTTGCCTTCTCTCTTCACTGAAAGCCAATGGTGAGTAGATATTGTGGAGTTGCTGGTATTTGGGCTAGGTGGGGACAGGACTCTTATAGAAGTGAATTTACATTCCCTTCACCATGTACGGTTTTGCTTCTGAATTAATGCTGCAAGAATTGCATGTGTATTAACCATTGAAAAATGCTGCTCTTTTATAATATGAATGCTTATATTAAGCCCCAGTTAAATGAGAAGTAAATGCATGAATTTATATTTATTTTTCCAGGAGATTTATAAATGATAGTTGAAAATTAAATGAACCTTGGGAAGACTTCATTTAGGAATGCAGAATTGCTGATTCTTTCTCTTGAGCTTATTACTTAAATCTTTAAAAATACTTTGCCGTACATTCAGTTCAGTTCAGTCCAGTCACTTAGTCCGACCTTTGCAACCCCATGGACTGCAGCACCCCAGGCTTCCCTGTCCATTACCAACTCTCGGGGCTTGGTCAAATTCATGTCCATCAAATCCAACAACCTTTTAAAACTAAAAACTTCTTAGTCTTTGGGCAAGACAAAAATGAACATACGGAAGCTGAGCACTTGTTAGAGAATTGTTGATGAATGAGAATGCACTTTGTTGCATCTTTGAATCATTTGGTTCAGTGGTGTCCCCTTTGTGGGATAATTGAAATTATTCTGTCTGAGGAAAGTATAATTCTCAGAAGTGTTGTGCTTGAAATTGAATCGTACAGGTGTGAGGTATGTCAATATAAAAAACACATTCTGGTTGTGTTGACTTGTGACGTAGGTTGGAGTAGGCTCTGCTCTGTGGGTCCTTCAAAGGTATTTTGTGTGTGTGTGTGTGTATGTATAATATTCATATGTCCATGTATACATATTACAATTATATGTCAGCAGAGCTGTTGTTTGCCTTGAGTTTTATTCCATCCAAGGCTGGTGCCAGGCCCAACCCTACTTAGCTTCTGAGATAAGACAGGATTGGGCATGTTCAGGGTGGTATGGCTCTAGACACTGAGGTTTTTGGACAACTTCTTTGCTAAAAGATACTCTTTCTGGGGAAGAGTTTTTACTTGCTGTTCAAAAAAAATTTTTTTTGATGTATATTTGACAAGGGTTGTCTGTATTTAAGGTGTACAATTTGATGCCTTGAAATACATTGTGAAATAATCACCATATTCAAGCCAGTTAGCATACCCATTAACTTTAGGATAGTTATCATTGCAACAGTGATGAATATTAATATCCATTGACTTTATATAAATTTTAAAAATTGTGAGAGATTTAGAGACTGGTATAGATAAGCTCCTACTGTGATCTATTTGAAATATATGAAGATTAATCACAAGTTCATAATTCTACTAATTCAGTAACATTTATATTGTGAATGTTTTGTTTTTTTCCCTAGGGTCCCGAGGGGCTTTCTGTGAAGTGAGACCTGATGATAAAAGAATTTTGGAATTTTACAGCAAGTTGGGCTGTTTTGAAATTGCAAAAATGGAAGGATTTCCAAAGGATGTGGTTATACTTGGTCGGAGCCTGTGACATTCGCTGGCACTATGAACTGTTGGAAAGTCTTAACTTCACCTGGTGGGTGGTGGTTGGGGTCTTCATACAGCTCAGCCTCTGGAGCGGCAATGAATCAGCCAATTCAGATTGGAAACAAAGAGAACTGTAAAACTCACTCATCATACTTAGAGATACTTACTCACTGGTTGGAAGAAGATAATACTGCTGCGAATCCTGTAGGAAAGAGATTTGGGCCTCCTTGTTGGGTTTTGTGTTCGGTGCCAGGACCTCTTACATGGGCTTATAGGGAGGTGGTCTTCAATAAATGTAGTCAGCACTGTTTTCGGCATCCAGTGTGGTTGCATTTCTCACCTAAGAGTGATGAATCACTTATCATCCTCCTTGGCTTATTGACTGAAAATGTATCTCATGCTTTAGAGACATGACAAAGATGGGAAAGATTTGGGTTCAGAGGCCTCAGGGTGGACAGTCCAAGTGGGATGGTTATGGCATAGTTTAAGCTGAGGAAACGATTTCAGTTTGGACGGTTTTTCTGCTTTCTGTAAAGCCTTGGCTGGTTGTCTCATAGTGACCATTGGTTCAGGCAAGTTGTGATTTGTAGGGACAGATGTGCAGTTGTTTGTGGCAAAAGCCTAAAAGTGACAAACTTGTAAAAAAAAAATTGTATATAAACCAGCTATAACCTGACTATCCTCTGTGTTTTTGTAATTTTCCTTTTGAAAATGAAAGGGTGCGGTTCAGAATGGCACTTTGAATAATGTAAATCAGTGGACGGTGAATTTTCTTTACTTTTGTCTTTGGTTTTGTTTTGTTTTTAAAAGAAGTTTTATTATTTTCAGAGTGCCTCCCACCTAGGGCTAGGCCATGACCACTTTGGGTATAAGAGCCTAACTTCATAGGACTCACAATCTGTTGCAAAGTGCAGTCATTTCTGGAAATTAACCTCAATGCAGGTCAGCATGTGAAATGTTAGTTTTGACATCTGGCAAGTAGGGTTTGGGGACTGATTGATCCCATTTGCCCACAGGTCAGTTGTCCTTTAATTTCAAGAGGTTACTACTGGTTTTATTAAATCAGTCTTTAGTTCTTGCATGTTTGTATCTAATTTTTAAAAGAATGAGTACACTTTAACCAATGACTTATGGTTTCCCTTTTCTCTTTCCTTTCACCACAGGTTCTGAAAGCTTCAAGTATTTTAATTTAGATTTGGTGTTTTTAAGGGTTCTGAGCAAATGCTCTTGCATTGAATCTTGCTCTGCAGGATTCATTTTCTTTTTATCATGGCTTGCTGGCTTCTCTGTAACAATATTTTGTTACCTTGCTTCCCAGCAGTTTTGTATCAGCAGTTTAAGTTTGAGCTAAGAGGGAAGAGGGTAAAGAAGAAAATTTAAAACATTTTCTTTCATAGATTTCCATCAGTGTAGGCTTTGAAAAAAGTCTTCTAAGGGATTGTACCTAGTGACTTTCAACCAAAGCCTGTGAGTGTGCACCGAATGGGTGAGATGAATGAAGGAGGGTTACATTCAGGGTTAGAAACCAGCAACTGGTAGCAGGATATGGAAGGTATGTTGTACAACTGGAACCAAGTTTGCATTTTCAAAGGCTGAGATGAAGGGAGGGTCTCTCCTGGCTTAGTGTCACTTGGTTTTTCTCTTTTAAGTACATTTTGTACACTGGTGGACAGTTCTAGCATTTTATCCGGTGGATTCCATGGTCATCCTCCAGTGGAATCAGGATTTTCAGCAAATTTGCTTGCAGCTTTATCTTTGTTTTAAATAATCAGTTTGGCTGGTATTCTGGTCACAGAGCTAACTATGAAACAGATGTCCAGGCTTCTAAGATCGTAAAATGCTGTGCTGTCTATCTTCTATGGTTATGGCTATTTATTATGGTTGGGATGATATTTCATTGATTGTTTAGATCACAGCTCAGTTCCTGTAGAAAATGAACTGTAAAACTATCTGAAGACCATACAAGAGGCAAAATAAAACTTGAAGTGAATGTGTGTGGTCGTGTACTGTGTAAACCTCCTCCTTGTTTCTGCCTCCTGCCCTTTATCCTGCTCTTGCATTCCCAAGCAAGTATTCCTCCTTTCCAAAGCTGTTTCAACTTAGGGACTGGGTCTTAAAGGTGGTTTTCTCCCACTTCTATCTCTAGTAAAAGATTGCCTTTCATAGTTTCCTCAAGGCAAGGCAAAAGATAAAAGTAGACTCGTTTTGGCCAGGCCACCTTCTTGACACAGTTATAACCTGGGGGTAAATGAAGGCAACTAGTTTGAGTTAATTCATGCCACGTAATAGGATAAGGGAAAGTTGAAGGCAGATCCTGAATTATGAGACAGGAGTCTAAGACGTCAGTCAATGTTGGGCTGGACTAGCCTGCCTCTTGACAGGAGCAGCAATGAGCCCCGCGCTTTCGCTAACTCCTCTGCTAGCAAGCGCCAGCATCTGGAGTTCAGTGTAGGTGTACAACCGTGTGGATAGTGAGCCGCAGGACCGTTAGAGCAGGAAACATATCCGGGGGTGGATGGAGTGGTTTGGGTACTAAGTACAGGAGCTCAAAGTCTTCCTCCATGCTCCGTTTCTTTGGAGGGATGGCATATCTGTATTCGCTTTTTCAAGAAAAACGATGCACTATATCGCCTTTCCTGGGAGAATTGGGAAGGCTTGCGTTTTCATGTATTTAATGAAAGCTAAGCTTGGGGTGGGTGAGGGGAACACTTGGAGTGCGAACTAGAGGAAATGGAGGCAGGAGCCACCCTCAGAAAGTCTTGGTCGTTGAAGTGAGCAAGGACGTTAATGCCAAGCTGATGCTTGACACTGCAAAGATGTGCAAAGCAGACGCAACATACTGCGAGACTGCTTAAGGGATGGTTGGATGGCATCACCGACTCAGTGGACAGGAGTTTGAGTAGGCTCCAGGAGTTGATGGACAGGGAAGCCTGGCTTGCTGCAGTCCATGGGGTTGCGAAGAGTCTGACACAACTGAACTGAAGGAGACAGGGCGATGAAGCTCTGGACCCAGAGTGCCTCGCCAGCGTCTCCTTTAATAGGCGGGGCCGGAGCCGCCGCGAGTCCCAGGCTTTGTACGTATCGGAGGCGGAGCCGCAGAAGGCCCTAGCAGCATGGCAGCTGGCGCAGCGGCCGCCTTGACGTTTTTGGATCAGGAGAGCCGAGTCCGAGCTGGGGGTATCGGAAGTCTGCAAGTCCCGGCCCCAGTCACTATGGACAGTTTCTTTTTCGGTATTGAGGAAAGGAGGGGCTGAGGGTGGTGCTGGGTTAGAAGCAGGGCTGAGGAACGGCAATGCAGACGTGTGCACGCCGTGGGTGGGGGCGGAGGGGGCCTCCCGCGGCAGCCGGAACCGGAGGGGAGAGCCAGGCCCCTGCCCTAGTTGTTCGGGGTGGGCCCGGGCCGAGCGCTCCAGCGGTTTCTGACACGTGGCCGTGCGAATGGCCGGTTAGTCCATGGCTGCAGGTGAACGGGATTTGGTGAAATGCACTCCACACACTGAAGCACGTTCACACTGTTAACCTCTTCCAGGCTGTGAGCTCTCAGGCCACACCCGCTCTTTCACCTTCAAGGTAGAGGAAGAGGATGACGCGGAGCATGTGCTGGCTTTAACCATGGTAAGGGGCGGGGTAGGGGGAGTGGAGGTTAATTGGTTGACCTAAACAGGCTCTACTCGCATGTCTATTCTTCCCCGCTCTACTGGGAGTCATCTACTCTGCTTAATCCCCACGTGGGGGCTCCCCTGGCCAAGCGATCCAGGGACCTCGGAGGCTGGGCAGGTTGTAGGGTAGATGCTTCCACTTGTGGTGTCCACCCTTATTGGGGGAGACTCCGAGGCCCTATATACCTTCCCAGCTCTGCCTCACCGAGGGGGCCAAAGATGAGTGTAATGTGGTAGAAGTCGTGGCACGGAACCATGACCACCAGGAGATCGCAGTCCCTGTGGCCAACCTCAAGTTGTCCTGCCAACCCATGGTGAGTTCCCTGACCATACCTTGGGAGGCTGGGAGGTAGGAATTGAGGACTTCAGGACTTCTCGAAAGGTGGGGTAGGCTAAGAATGCGCCAGGCCTTCATCCTTGTCTTTCTCCCAGCTCAGTTTGGATGACTTCCAGCTCCAACCACCTGTAACCTTCCGCCTGAAGTCAGGTTCTGGCCCTGTGCGCATCACTGGGCGGCACCAGATTGGTAAGAATTTTCTCCTTTGCCTCCAGTAGACTCTTCATCTGGACTCCTACCCCACCCTAGCCATATCTCCCAGTGCAGTTCCCATACAGACCCTGGCCTTCACTGCTACTGATGCTGCTGCTAAGTCGCTTCAGTCGTGTCCGACTCTGTGCGACCCCTTAGGCTGCAGCCCACCAGGCTCTGCCGTCCCTGGGATTCTCCAGGCAAGAGTACTGGAGTGGGTTGCCATTGCCTTCTCCGTGGACTTGATTACTCCACTTTAAAGATCCTCCACTTTACTACTCCAGCTGTTCTTCACGGAACCTACCCCAGCTTATTCAGCTCCACTGATGTGGACTCCTTTGAAAGTGAAAGTGAAAGTCACTCAGTCGTGTCTCTTTGTGACCCCATGGACTATAGCCCACCAGGCTTCTCTGTCCACGGAACTCTTCAGACAGGAATACTGGAGTGGGTTGCCATTTCCTTCTCCAGGGTATCTTCCCGACCCAGGGATCAAACCCAGGTCTCCCGCATTGCAGACAGACTCTTTACTGACTGAGCCACCAGGGATTTAGAAGCCCTTTGACTCTTTGTTATCTAGTTTAGTATCTGAGGTGTTTCCCACCTAGGCCATAAGCTTTGGGAGGTCAGAGCCCCTGCAAGCCTAGAGCCACAGAGCATGAATAAATGACATGTAGTATGAAGTGGGTGTGGCTTTAACTTCTCTTCTCCCTTGACTGCTTGTGTACCAGTTACTATAAGCAATGATCTTTCTGAGGAAGAGAGTGAAGAAGATGGGAGTGAGGAGGAGGAAGCTGAGTTGTGTCCTATCCTGCCTGCCAAGAAGCTGGGGCGCAGGCTCTAACCCTCCCTGGTGAGTTGGAGAGGCCGGGGAGGGAACAGGAGGAGCATGTTTGGACATCGATGCTGATCCCTGGTTTGCTCTCTTCAGGTCAGCTAGCTGCCTGCCACATGCACCAGGTTCCTGGACAAGTTTCAAGAACTTTGTATCTTCTCCATTGAAGAGGGTTGGGGCGGGGGCGGGGGCGGGGTTGGGGGTGGCGGTGGGGGTCTGGTGCAAGGAGAACGGGTGTCCCATTCTCCAAAGGACCCTGGTGTTCTAAACCTGTACCTCACCCCGAGCTTCCCTTTTCTCCAGGAGTGGGAGGAACTCTGAACTTCTATCCTGATCTTCTCTCCCCACTTGCCTATGAGGTTGGAGGTCAGCATCTGAAGCTCAGGACTACACATTCTTAATATTTTTTACATTTTTGGATAAAGGTTGAAATAAAATGTGGATGAGGTTTTTTTGCGACTCATTTGTGTGGCTTCTTTCCCTCCTGGGGTGGCATTCCCCTAGGGACCACCAGGTGGCACTGTGGCAGCACAGAGGGTGGCCCTGGACCTGGGGAAGGGTGAGGAAATGTGGGATCCTGCTACTCCCAGAGCGCTGGGACTAGCCCAGCCCTGGGCCCCAGCTGCCTTCCTAGATGAGGACCTCCCAACACCAAGCCCCTTCCCAGTCCCTTGGTGGGGGAGGGCCATCCCAGGAGGTTATCAGCATCTAAACAAGGGGTCTGGGCCTCTGTCACCACTCAGGCTGATGGGCAGGGGGCAGATAAGGGGGCTTAAGCAGCCAGAGGAATGTGCATCCCTGGCCCCATGAGGGGGCTCAGGCCCCAAGAGGACCTGTGAGGGGTAAGGTAGAGGCCAGTCTTTGCTCCTCCTACCAGTCATGCAGGCCATCTCTGAGCCAGCCTGGACCCTTAGAAACCTGATTCCAGGGGCCAGATGGAGGGGGCTGGCCAGATTGGGTGACAGGGAAACCAGAATCCGGGTGGCCTGGCATATGGGGGCAGAGAGGAGCCCCTGGGATTCAACCTCCTGGGCTAAAGGGTTCCAGCCCCATAGCCCTCCACCTGGTCTGGGATGGGGGTGGAGGGGGCGGTTCTCTGGTGCCTGAATTCAGGTGGTTCTGGGGATTGACTGCTGCTGTACCAGGAAGAGAAAGGGATGTACCTGGTGTGATCATGAGTGTGTATATGACCAAGTCTGAGGTCAGTAGTTCAGCAGCTGTGTTGATGGGGCAGGGGGTCTCAGTGCCCTACAAACAAACAAACAAAAGGTTACCTCCTGAGACAGCCTGGGGCCCGACATGCTGAGGAGTGACACAGGAGAGGGCCTGGTGGGGCCAGGCCCACTCCCTCCTATACTGGCTTCTGGGCAAATGAGTGAACAAGTGGGAGGGGTTCCTGGAGAACCAGAAGAGGTTGGCATTGGAGCAGGTGTTTGGAAAGAGTGTTTCCACACCACAGAAAAGCACTCCCTTTTCAACACATCTCTGAAGGAGGTGCCCTTCTCCCTGTGGTGAGGAGCAAACAGGTCCAGTGTTTAACCTCCCTTTTTCCTAGTTGAGGATAAAGGAAGATGGTCCTTCTCTGTGTCGTAGTGGTCAGGGTCGCAGGGCCTCTTTCTTTGCTGCAGGACTTTCCTGAAGTGCTTCCACCAGGAACACCTGGATGGAGAGGGCAGCCAGGATGGGACCATTCACCAACCGGAGGCAAGGGGTCGGGAGATAGAGAAGGTGGAGTTGGCGCCCTCTGGTGGGAGAGGTTGAAACAGCTTGTGGCGGTGCAGCTCGCCGCTCCGCCTCTGTAGCGGCTCTAGGCGGACGCAGCGGTGCAGGGGCCTACAGACCCCGCCAGCGGTCTGCGCAACTAAGGCAGACTTCATTCGTTTGTTCGTTCATTCATTCACTGGAAGGGCTCCTGTTAGAACCCTTCTCTTCCTCCTCTCGTCTATCGCCTCCAAAGTCCTCGGCACGTGCTCGGTTGAAGGTACGGTAGCCTGGCTGAGTGTAGGGAAAAGTCGGGGAATCCTTCCCAGCCGACATTTCTACCCCCTGCAAGTGGCCCCGCCCCAATATTTACCCCCCTCGACGCCGCTGATCGCTCATTGTGAGTCTTTCTAGTTTCTTGGCGGGTCTGCCCGCGGCCCTGGCCGGCGCCAAGCGCGCTCCTACCCGCGGTGGGGGCCCAATCCACATCCGCCTCATCCCGGAGTTTCTCGACCCGACGGGGCGCCCGAGGACTGAGCCGGGAATTGTTTTTTCTCCCTCCCCTCCCTCGCCTTTCCTCGATCCCCCTTTCTGCCCTCTCAGCGCACAGTAGGAGCGTTGCCCATTCATTTGGGCCTCTGAGCGCGGAGGGCTTACGCCGGGGTTTGCAGACTGCTGGAGGAGGGGCAAGACTGTATTTGGGGGGCGAAGCGGGACGACCAGACGGGGCCTAAAGTGCTTAACACAGTCTCTGCGATTTACATTTGAACAGTCGGCGGAGGGTCTGCCGCGCTTTGAACGCCCGGCGCAGGCTGCGCGTGTTGGAGCGCAGGCGGCCCCTGCCGGTTGGTGTGGATTTGAGGGGCCCAGAGTGGGCCAGGGGCGGGGGTGGGGGTGGAGGGGGCGACCGATGCGTTTGGAAAGAGGCTGAACGTGTGTGTTTGGGTCCTTGCAACGGTGTGTTTGCAGAGAGGGGCTATTTGTGTTGGCGAGAGGTGTGTGTTTGTGTTTGCAGGAGGCGAGGGACTCTGTGTATTTGTGTTTGAGGAGTGGGGGGGGGGGGGGGCCGGGAAAGGTGGCCGGGCTGTCACTCAGCGATCAGGTTGACAGGCGCTCCCTCATCAGGGCCAGGGAGCTCTGATTGCAGATTCGAGGAAACAAAATAGCAATTGTAATTACGGGGCTTTGATAAGATAAAGGAAGGAGCAAGCCGGCCGGGAGGCGAGTAAGAGCAAGGGAGGAGGGAACGGCCTGCTGGGGCCCCGATGGAATATTTACATCTGTCATTCACGGGCGTGTGTCCTCGCAGTACCCGGCGCCTGATGCGGGGTGTCCCTATTGACACCCCCCCCCCATCTAGAGACGGGGACTTTTGGGGCTATGAGAAGAATCCCCTCAAATGGATGAAGACCCAGCTGGGGGAAGTTCTCAAAATGTAGAGGAATTCTGATCTGTAGAGGCCCCCGGGTAGAGGTTAGGGTGTGGAACTCAAACCCTGACGGTCCGCACTTTTAGGCCCCATATGGCCCATCTCTGGGGGGGAGTGAGGAGGGTGGATTAAGATCATTGAGGTTCAGCCCAGAACCTTCTGGGGGCTCCAAACCAGGGTTGAACTCTGGTCTGAGCCAGGTGCTCTAGTCTCCACCCCCCACTCTGGGGAAAGGCAGGTGCCCAGAGTGACACAGGTTCTGACTCCAGGACTACACATGCTAAGGATGGGCTGGATGCCCTGACCCTGCTTGGGTCCTGCTCCTTGCTGTTCTCATCAGACTGTTTTCAGAGGGCTGGTCCCTGGTGAGAAGACCCTTTTCATCCTCTGCCTCTCATCTCTCCACTTATTTACTAATACATACAAATAAACATATTCAAGGCCTCCTAGGTGCAGGGCATGAGGTTAAGATGGTGAATATTTTGCCTGCTTGAATTAGTGTACCTGGGGATGTAGACACCCAACAACTTCTAAGACAGAGGAGCTTGAATGAAGGAGAAATGCTGGTCTAGGCTGTGGGTACAGGAGCCCACTTCACTTGTCTTCCCCCAGTGCCCACCTCCCAGTGGGGTTAAGAGGAGATGGTGCAGACAGACAGACTTTAGCAAATACAAGTGCTCAATAAATGGTGGTGCTTATGATCCTTATCTGTTGGGAGGGTGGTGAAGGCAAGTCTCCATGGGGAGGCCCCACATGCACTGAGGTCTAAATGCTCAGCCAGTTTCCCCATTATTCATTCATTGAATACAGAATTGTAAAACCCTGCCCTGCTCTCCTGAGCTAGTAAGATATGGTCCTTGCCTGGAGGTCTGGGTGGGAAAGAGCCACTTGAGGGAACAGACTCAAGTGGGTAACAGGTGAGCTCAGGGAGTCTGCTTCTCTGGGGAGGGATGAGATTTTGGGACAAATTTCCTGATTCTGTTTCCCCATCTAGACCTTGCTCAGTGTTAGCACCATGGCTGGGAGTGGGAAAGGCAGGCCACAGAGAAAGGGAGGTAGGAAGAACTTGGCTGTGTTGCCTCTGGTCTCATGGTTTCCTGAAGCCACCCCAGCCCCTCCAGCCCAATCCCCAAGGACACGGGGGCTGGCAGTAGGGCAGGGGAGGTCTTGGGCAAGGGCAGCAGCTGGGCAAAGCATCAGTGGCTCCACCTGCTCCCCAGAAGTATCTGTCTCAGGGCATCTCTGCCCACCCAAGCTGCTCTCAAAGAAGCACCACAGCTCAGGGGTTCCTGAAGCCCCTGGAGGTAGCAATGGGCGGCTGTGAAAGGCTTAGACAACTCATTACCTTCTTTGATACTTCCCCCTCCCCCAGCGTTGACAAAGCACCAGTCGAAGTTTAGTACACAGTAGGTGTGTAAGTAAATACCTGTTCAGTGCACAAATAATGGGACTCTGAGCAAAAAAGACTAGGCACCCTAGATCTAAGTCTCTTTCCCAGGAAAAGCAGCTGAGGTTACTTTTGCACCCACTGCCTGCCGCTTTGGGGAGGGCATGGTGGTGGCAGTGACTGGGGTTTTCCGTATGGGTGGGCTCTCTCCTTTTTGGGTGGTGTGGTCAGGCTTCAGTCTAGCGTGTTGGGGGGGGGGGCGAGGAGCAGGGGTGATGGTGATAATGAGAGAAGGAAGCAGGAAGGGAGATGTTTCTCGATCTCAGGGCCTTCTTGGTGACTGAGCGAGGCAGGAGAGACCGGCAAGGCAGGGTACTCAGCAGAAAGATGGGGGTGATTGTCGGCTCCCGGTCGCACAAGCACGCACTGCCAAAGGAAAGCGCATAACCGTTCACCCCAGTGTCAGCTCCTACTTGCAGGCGGCAGCCCCGGACAGACAGCACACAGTAGGTGGCTCAGAGAACCGCCGTCTAGCTTGAGGCTTAAGCGGACCGGGTCCCACGGTGCAGACCGGGCGCCTTCCCACTCGGGCGCCCGGGGGGTCCAGGAAACTCCAGCAGAGGGGCTCGGGACTCCACGGGGTGGGCGGCCCGATGCGCCCTCCCATCCCCGCGCGCCTGGACCCCAAGAACGCGCAAGGGGACAAGTCCGGGATGCAGAGAGGCGCCCAGACGGGCCGCCCCCTTACCCACCCCCCCTGCCGGCCCGTTACCCTCCCTCCCGCTCCGGCTCCTCAGCAGCCAGCGGCCAACGGCTCCGGCTGCGGCGCAGAGGCACTCGGCGCGGCGCGGCGAGCTCGACATTCCCTGGGACCCGCGGAGCCGCGTCCCGATCGCCCGGGCTCCCGCCCTCGAGCCATCCTCGAGCCCCCCTTCGCCGCCG